CTGAGGACCCCCCCGAGTGCACAGATTTTGTGCACCGGGCCTCTAGTAATAGTAATAATACACTGCAAGACTGTGTAGCAGAGTGGGTTGGAGGGTGGGGGGAATTCTGTAGGTAGACCCTTGTTTGATTCTCCCAGCAGCCCCATTTTACAGAGAGACCCAAACACTGAGGCTCAGAGAGATAGGGATCTACCCAAGGTCACACACATGTAGGTCTTTCTGAATCCAAAGTCGCTGTCTTTTCTGGCTGTTTCACTGCATTGAATCTACTGGGTGACCTTGACTAAGTCACTTAACCTCTCTGTGCTTCAGACCACTCAGGGGACAGGGGCTAGCACAGCAGGGGAGGTATACACAGAGATCCTGGCATCCAGGCGGTGCTCAGTAGCAGTGACACTGATGACTGGGAGGAGTTGACTCATTCTCTGTACCAGAGAGCTGTGTGTGTGCGTATGTGTGTGTGTGTGTGTGTGTGTGTGAGAGAGAGAGAGAGAGAGAGGAAGAGAGAAACAGGCAGAGAGAGAGATCATGAACTCCATCAGTAAACAGTTTTCAGTACATGCCCCCACTGTGTGGCCTATTGATAAACTGTGTGCACTGAAAGGCAGCGTAGTCTAGCGGTGCAGAGAACACCCCTTGGAGCCAGAGTGCCTGGCCTTGAATCCTAGCTCTCAGCTTACTAGTGTTGGCCTTGGCCAAGTTCCATCACTGCTCTGAGCCTCGGTTTCCTCATTTGTGGACTAGAGATGATTCACAGGGCAGAGCTGATAGTTTTTGGAAAGTGCTTAGTGCCTGCCATTGCTAAGTCCTATCTATGCAAGCGTTAGCTGTTAGTTTACTGGTAATAAACTAGTGGGTATGTGCACAGAAGGGAAGAGATATATTCGAATAGTCCCTCCCACACCGTGGATGGACCTCACCTGCTTGGATGGAGACCACTAAAGGAATAGGTGTGCTCCCCACTTTGGGGCGAGGCGGGGTGGGGGGTGAAGAGGGGACTCTAGGCTAGACCTGGGCGTCTGGGCATAGGGTTGGGAGATGGCCTTGCTGGCTCTCACCTTCTCACCTCCGGCCTTTGCCCCTGCCCCAGCTCCAGGGAGCCCAGCGGAAGCTGCAGGAGCAAGAAGGCGAGTTCCGAGCCCGCGAGCGAGGCCTGGTAGGCAACCTGGAGGAGGCGCGCAGCGCGGAGAAGCAGCAGCTGGACCACGCACGCAGCCTGGAGCTGAAGCTGGAGGCGGCTCGGGCCGAGGCTGCGGAGCTGGGGCTGCGGCTGAGCGCGGCCGAGGGCCGGGGACAAGGCCTGGAGGTTGAGCTGGCCCGCGTGAAGGCCCAGCGTCGCGCGGCGGAAGCCCAACTGGGTGGCCTGCGATCTGCCCTGCGCCGGGTTCTGGGTCTGGGCCGCGCTCCCAGTCCCGCCCTCAGTTCCACTGGGCGGCAGGCGCTCGGCTCCCTTGCCCGTTGCCCACCAATCAGAGGTGAGCGAAGCTCCACATACTGTTGGGAGGCGAGAGCGGGAGGACGACCTGCCTCAGTCTCTGACTCCCATAATTATTCCTGATCCAAGCTGCACCCTGCCCTCATTGGTTCTAAGTTTTTCTTTGATTACCAGAGTCACATGTCATACCTGTAGGCTGTTCACGGAGGCATGGAAGATAAACCCCCATGTGCACGCCCCCCTGTGACAGCTCACTGGATATTTGATGAATCAATGAGCTGTCACTACTGCCACGCTGCGGTTATGCGAACTGTCTGTGTATACAACCTGGCTCCTGGAATTTC